TCATTAGTAACTTCATGCAAATTTGTTTTATTGTTGTTTGATCCGCTTTGTGAACATCTCACCCATTATGCTTTGTTTATATTTATTTGTTTTTTCTGGCATATTTATTCTTCAGCGTATTGAGCTTATTTGCTGGAATGAGGAAATATTTACCAGTGCATCGAGTATACCTTCATAGATAATTTAAGGACATGTTATCTAGCTATGCAGACTAGCAGATGATGTGTTGAAATTAGGGCAATGTCTCTAATTGGTTATTTAAGGTTAACAGTATACCTTTTCTACTACTTCTTAGGTTTTTGTATTTCTAGTATTTGTTGTCGAAGATGTTTGCGTTTTGTCCCATAGGAAATGAGTTATTTTTTCTGAAATTCGGCTTGGATTGTTTTCAATTACTTCTAACAAATAATTTCTTGTGAAGTATGGAGCAACACTAATGGAAGTAGATGTTGATGGCACAATATCATACCCTGAACCTCAAGTTACTGCAAAAGATAATGGTAATGCTCTTTTGAGGTCCCACTCCCTATCACCACATACACACACACACACATGAGGCACAAACGTAAAAGGCTTTTTTTTTTTTCAATGTGTCTCACAAGTTCTTGGTTAGTTAATTATTTTTTTCTGCTTCAGAATTTTTAACTGGTTTTCAATTGTTTTACTTTTTGGTCTTTAAATACAGCTGACAAGCATTCTCGTCCAAAACCCATTAGCATTGAAGAGGAGCAGTTTATGCGAGTATTTTATGAAAATAAACTTCAAGAAGTGTGCAAAAACTTTCACTTCCCTCATAAAGTTCAGGTATGTGGCTTCTCATTTTGACAGAAGAAAAGAAGCGGTAATAGTTTAGGAAGCATGAGAACTACAAAAACTTGATCAGTTTGAGCACTATCCTTGTCTAATTGGTTTCATTTGCAGGCAACAGCTCTTATATATTTCAAAAGGTTTTATCTACAATGGTCGGTGATGCAACATCATCCAAAAAATATAATGTAAGGTTGGCTTATATCTATTTAACATATCTGTCAGTTGTCAATGCATATGTGATTCTATGTGAAATTTGATTCTTCTAGGTAGAAATTCACTAAGATGTTGAGACACTAGAAAATCGGGTCATTATTCTCATATTTATTTACCTAAGCTTATATGATTGCAACAATTCATTTCATCTACCTAATTGTTTGTGGATGTTTAAATTGAATTAATTCACAGGTTAACCTGTATATATGCGGCTTGTAAAATAGAAGAAAACCACGTATCAGCAGAGGAGCTTGGTAAGGGGATCTCACAGGATCATCAAATGATACTCAATAATGAGATGATAGTTTATCAGGCATGGATGTGCCACACATTTCTTTGTTGTTTCTACTTCGTTTCTGTTTTATTTGTTTAATATAACACTATATCTTTATTGTGCAGAGTTTGGAATTTGATCTTATTGTTTATGCACCATATCGCTCAATTCAAGGTTTTATCGATGATATGGAGGTAACAATTTCTGCATATCTTCCCTCCCCAACAAAATGCTCTACGAGGATGCTTTGACTTTACTATTTCCCACTCTTTTGGGATACTTCTTAAAATTTATTTTGGTTTTCTCTAGCGCATCTTTAATATTTTATTTTCGTATGCACTTCAATTTTTTTAAGAAGTTCCTTGCGTGTACTTGGTGACAATTAGTGTTCATTTCTAGGAATTCTGTGGAATAAACGATGATCGACTCCAAATTCTGCAGGTAATTGTTTGGCGTTGTTTTAATTGTATATGGCTGAATAGCGTGTTCAGTTTCTGCTCTATTACATGGCATCTATTTGACTGAATCTTTAAGAGTCGTTCTTTGTTGAGTTGCTGCAATCATTTTAAATAACCAACAGCCAGTCACAAGCAATGTATCTTTCTGCATGATTTAATAAATTTAAACTGTAAGTAATTCACTAAGGAAGTCTTTTAATTAAATGAATAATTCTGTTTCATTTGGTTCTTGTGTCAATATGTACATAACAGGAAAAAAAAAAAAATTCCAAGGAATTTATTGAGATTGGTAGTACTATGTCAGTTCACTTCTGTCAAAGGAAGAACTCCGAAAGTCCCACTCCCCTGTACATGAGCCAAATATCACTAATCAGCTTTGTGTGTAACGTTTTTCCTTGGGGTGCAATATAATGGTTGCAAATTAAGAATTTCCCATTTAGTGGAAAATGTAGTTCTTTTGATGAGGATAATCTGGCTTTTGCTTAACCAGCTAAATATTTTTTTGATGGAATGATTTGTAGAATTTGCTTCATGCTGCAAAGATGGAAGTGGATAAAATCATGCTCACGGATGCACCACTTCTATTCCCTCCTGGGCAGGTATGATTTGCCATTCAAGCTTCTAGCCGTTCAAGCTCAGAATTTGGTCATTAATTTTAAATATCAAACATAAGTTTCGCAACTTAAGTGGAAAGTTTCGCTAAAGAATCGAAATACTTTACCCATTTTAGGTTTGAGTATTAGGATTTGGTTGGAGAGTGCTAGTGTTATAGGAGCAGCATTTAATGAATTTTATGAGTTGGAAGAGAAGTTGGTCATTTAGTATCTAGTGAGATAGAGCCCAACAGAAAGATAAGAAAAATAATATGGCCTTTACTGAAGTTCACCATGCTAGGTAGAGTTTGGATTTTGGATTTTTGATCTCTCTCTCTCTCTCTCTCTCTCTCTCTCTCTCTCACACACACACACACACACACACACACACACACATGGATAATATATACATCATCTTTAACTTGCCCATCTTAATTTGATGCAGTTGGCATTGGCTGCTTTGCGTAGTGCAAATCAGGTGCACAAAGTTGTTGACTTTGAGAGGTTCTGATTCGAACTTTAGGTTTCCTATCATTTTTATTGTTTTTTTTTTCCTTTTCCTGTATAGTTCTACTTCTGCCTTCCCCCCCAAGTTCCCTATTGGCTGCTCAAGTAGAATTGTTTACATATTGACATTAAATTGTTGGGATGGGGAGGGGGTGTTTGTTGTTGGACAATACTAATAAACCTTCTTTCATGTATGCTCATTTTCAGATACCTGAGTAGCATTCTCTCTCGTCAGAGTTCTGAACATACCGTTTCAGAGCTAGTTGAATTCCTTAATGCAATAGATTCTTGGGTATAAATTCGTTGCAATCTACATACAAGTGTGATGCAAACTGCATTGACTCTGCGATACAGCACAAACATTTGTGAAAATTATATATCATAAAGCTAGATGATTAAGTTCAGGATTTCGAAAATTTTAATCTGATAAATTTTTGGTTTCATTTTCCAATCTGCTTTTCTTCCTGGCTAATGTATATGCAGGCAAGAAAATACAAGTTTCCTTCAGACAAGGATCTCAAGCACATCAACCGAAAACTGAAATCTTGTTGGGGTCTTAGTTCACATGAAGAGTATGCTATTCCTTATCTAGAAATAGTCACATTTAATCTGGTGTCCTTTTGTTTTGTATCAATGCCAAACTTTGACTGGTTTTCAGAAGTAAGAGGCGGGATAAGAAATCTAAGCACAAGTCAAAGAGGAGCTCAAATGAAGTGCAACCTGTACCTTCTCATACTGAAATGTATGTCCTTTATGTATAAAATTCGCCGTCATATCTGGGTTTCTTGGCAATTTCTTGTTCTTGTCCCTTAGGGTTTGTGAGGGACATTTAGTTTCATACACTGCAACTGGTGTCTAAACAGTTGGAGATACGCAAATTTAATTTGTCGTTGTACTGACACTCTTCATCTGGTTTCAGGTAAATTTATCTCGGTGTTTCCCTTGGATGTTTTTTGTTTTGCTTCGAAAAGATACTCCAAGCGATCATCCTGTAGGATTATTGTAGAATAAGAGAATTTTACCTGTCCTTTAACTAATATATTCTTTCTCCTCTCTTTTCTATTTTTATTTTTATTGTTATGTTGTCAAATCAGTCGACTTAAGACTTTGAGTTTGAGTGGATGAAGAATTTTTCTGAGCCTTGACAATGATCTTGTGATTTAGAAGTAAAATTTTTTGTTTTTTAAATTTTCTTTGGAGGTGGGGATTAGTTTGACCTTGTATTCATTTCTTCTTCTTATCATTTCTAGTTTATTATTCGCGGAAAGGCAATAATGAGGGGATTGTGGGTGAAATAAGGTCTCTTATCTTTCTAATTTTATTTTAGAAAATCAATTAACCCCCAAGAGAATAAATGGAAAATTAAGCCAACAATTCCTTACACACTTAAAATAATATCAAGAAATAAAATGCGTTCTAAAAGCTCACAAAAAGAAAACTTCAGTCTAGCCCATTGTCAAGACTCCAACTCCCTTACTAGTTATGTTAGTTTCCCCGTTAAAAATGGAAAGGGCTGAGAAAATAAATCATGAGAAAAGTATGGAGCGTGCAAATGTTATATTCTTCCCTCCACTGTGGCATGCACTCAAGAAAATAAAATAAAAGATATGTTGCAAGAACTTCCCTACATTTCCCTTAATGCATACACAAAATGCGCGTGATGCCACTGGATACACAAGATGAATGCGAAGTGAGATATTGGCATCCCTGCAGCCGAGGTCATGTGTACGAATCCCCTCCACCAATATCGCTTATATTAAAATATATATATATATATACAGAAATTCTCTTATGCGGACATCCGGACATTATTATCGTGCGGACGCAGTGTATTTTGTACTATCCCTCTCTGTTTTCCTGCCTGTTTACAATAGAATCCGCACGATAATAACGTGCGGACATCCGGATAAGAGAATAACTATATATATATATATATATCAAAGGATTTCATTGTTGAACCTTCAGGCCCATACTTCTTTAGGCTTGGAATTCATGCTGCGGGCTTTTACTTGTGAATGGGCCTCCAAATGAGCTCGATGCGCATTTGGGTCTGGTTGGGTTTGGGAATTATAGTCCGGAAATGTTAGGGCGAAACTTTAAAAGAAACGACACCATTGAGAGTCGTTTATTACTGCCCAGTACTAACACTGAGCTGAAGAAAGGAAGTAAGAAGAAAGAGACTCAAAGTTGAAGGCTTCAATGGCGTGCCTTGTGTCCATGACCCTCTCTGTACCTCTCTCAGCTTCACTTTGGTTCACAAAGGTGAGTTCACATTTACCAAACTTGTCTTCAACAAAAAAACCCTAGCTTTTATCCTTCTGCTGCTGAAACAATCTTAGAAAACTTGGGATTTGAAAGCAGGAGTGGGAAAATGCTTTGGGGATTTGAAAAATAATTTGCGTTACAATCTTTTTAATTGATGTTTTTTGTTGTTATTATTAAACTCCAGGAAATACCTCCGAGAAAATCAGTTTTTGTTGGACTTTCAAGCCAACCAACTTCAGGAACAGGTTTTCTTCTTCAATCTCTTTTCTCAATTGCCAGTTTGCTTACTGTTATACTTGGATATGATTAGTTTTCATAAGATATTAAGAATCGCCCGCCAAGGAGCTAGGCGCCCGCCTAGGAGGCCTGGGCGGGTCGGGTCCTTTTAAAATATTTTTTTTCCTGACTTTAAAGAAAACGCTCTCTCTCTCTAGTAATTAGCAAAACTTGAACCATGCTTGAGCTTACTTACATATTGGGTTTCAGTGTAATTTTATTCCGGCTGACAGCATATTCTCATGAACTTTGGTCTAGCAGTCTACTTATAGCTGAAACCAGAACTACCCTTTTTTTTTCAATCAAGAAACCAGACCTACCTTCTAATTGTGGTACTCAACCCAAGTTTGAAACCATTCATGAAAGATTTTGTGCATACCCTGAATTGGTCGTCTTTTGATTATTGGATAATAATTTCCATTCATTAGACGTGTGTACAATTTATTTTGCCTTATAAATAGCAGAGGAAGAGACTTAAGCCAATGAGCAAGTAAGAAGTTAAAGGATGTTAAGAAAGTATTTTTCCAAAATGTGTAGCCTTTTGTCTTTATGTTGCTTGAGAGAATGGATAGAAGAAAAAATAATAGAGAAAGAGATGGAAGGAACAAATAAACCCAAAATCTATCATTAACTTGTAGGACTACCAATGTGCAAACCAAATTTTTTGCAAGACAAGAAACCTAAATATTCCTCTAACTGTTCCTCAAATCTAGAGAGTCCAAAACTTGATATTCTATTGAATCTATGCAGTTCTTGAGTACTTTTCGGGAGGAGAATGCAATATGTTGATCTTCATTTTGTATTCATTGTTATCTTAAAATTGTACTTTTCGCTAGTCAAATCACATGGTTAGTTAGGTGTAGAAAAAAGTACCAAAAATTTGAGCATTAGAGATCAATTGCATAATAGCATTAGGCTGAGGATGTATCTGAATTACTAGAACCTCTCAAGGTTCGAAATCGTATGTCAGGTTGGGGTGTTCCAACACGAGTCCAGTGTGAAGGGTAACTTCAGCCCAAGTTTGCTGATTTTTGAGGAAGTTAGAATCTCTTCAAGGTACTAGTAGTAAGCTCCCTTTTCTTTGGATAATATATCTCAATTGAATATAACAGATCATGAAAGAAAAGAAAAAAACTTAAACTTAAAGTCTCTTCTTTTAATACTTTAAAGGCATTCCATTTTTCATGGTAAACAGAATAAGCCTTGGCCTATCAAGATGCTATTCTTTAGTCATATTTTCATGGAACTCTCAACCATATTGTTCCTGCTTGCTCTGTTTAAGCTAACTGTATGAATTACATTTGCAGCTGCAAAGCCTTCTGCCTCCTGCAGGACAAATACAGGCATATCGTCTTTGAATTGGAGTTGTCAAGATCATCTTTTAACCCCCTCAAAACCTCATTTTGAAAGAATGTATTGTTGTATCAATGTAGATTCTTGTAGCTACATGATCATATCTGGTTATTGGGTAGGACCTGATATTGATGATGGTTGGGGATATGTGGAAGCTTTTGTTAATCCAATTACTTGAGCATTTTTCTCCATTCCATTAGTTTTTTTTTTTTTTTTTCTCCTTTTGGCAACCGTTTATGCTTCTGTTGTTTGGCCATACTGGATGGATATCAAATGCGGCAACCGTTTATGCTTCTGTTGTTTGGCCATACTGGATGGATATCAAATGCGGAAGAAATGAGGAAATGAGCCTATTATCTTGTCTGAATGGGGCAGTCTCCGATTATTTCTTGGACTTTGTGAGAGATTTCACAGATCTATTCAAGAAACACTTTTTATGTGTAGCCATTAGGCTAGAGATAAGCCATGAAAATGCTTAAAATTGTGCAAATTGTCTGTGAAGGGGAATGAATGAAACAAATACTAGAAAAGAATTTTAAAAAATTTTGTTTTGTGTGCATTTCAACCACAACCTTCCATTCCGACCGTCATTTCTCCACCCTTATTAAAATTAAAAATTAAAAATTAAAAATGAAATGATTACCAAACAAGGACCATTAACATCTCATCACTTGTTTTTTAGGTAATTGAGCGGCTTCAACTCACACAATTCACATAGACAACCCCATGATCTCTTGTTATTCCTTTGTCATTGAAAATGGGTGCATCAAATGAAGAAGAATGGCTGCTTTGCTATTATATTAGCAATCAATTAATTATTATAAATTGGAAGGTTAATACACTGTTGCCAAAGTGCCATCTGATCATGTAATTGATTGAGAAGGTTAATTATGAAGCTCGATGCCGTGATTCCATGGTCGGAGTTCATGGAAGCAGCTTTTTTAATCTGTAATCACCAATATTTATTATATACAAAGAAGAAAACCATGAAATAGTGTTCCTCATAGTATTGTTGGTGCCATAATTTTGAAGATTTCGATGTTATATATTCTATATAAATAAATAAATAACCATACATAGTACTGAATTGGGAAAATTGTTCCCAAATATTTGAGCATTTCAAAACAATCCCATAATTAAAGAGCCTCAAATGGTAAAGTAGAGCATCGGTGACCTAAAGTTTAAGGTTTTTGAAATTATCCTATCAATAAAAATCATCACACATAGCACTATATAGTAATGGTTTAATTAGCTTTTGTTTCTCAATTCTCCCTCCCCTCCTCCCTCCTCCCCAAATACAAGACTATCGATCATTGCTTTAATGGGAAAACAATTGTTTTTTTCTTTTGCAAATCTTATGTAATTAAGATCTTTACTTCTTTAATTAGAATGGAGAGAGAGAGAGAGAGAGAGAGAGAGAGAGAGAGAGAGAGAGAGAGAGTTTGTGATGGTTGAGAAGTGGTCCCCTAGTGAAGAGAATTAATTACAGAAACCGTAGGTTGCATGTTTAACCCTAACTCTGACAACTTCGAGTTTTATTAGTCACTAACCTTTAACGGGAAGATTACCCTAATCCATAAGACTATAGTAAACTATAAGCATGCCTGAGATTCTACTGGGCTTTCCCGGTAACTCATGTTATAGTGGTCCCTAATTCTAGGGTTAAGCCAACCCTAAACCTAGTACATTAATTATTAATCTACTATATGACTATATGAAGGAAATTCATTTGTATTTGAGTCTTAAATTAATGTCCAAGCAGCATTATGGTTGCTAAAAACTGTTGGAAAGTTGCTGACTAAGGCTATATTCTCTGTTGTTGCACTTCTGTAATTTCTCCAGAAAGATATGGGAGATGAATATTAATGCTCGGATCAAGAACCGGAAAAAGAAAAAAAAAAGATTTCAACTACTTTAAATTTTAAGAGCTTTTTCTCTAAATTATATCTGGGGAAATCTCTCTGAAGAGAAAATAGAGTTCGAATTATCTCCTTCAGATTGGTTGTGCATGTCATTATGATTTAACATTATGATCTGTAAAAACCATCACATAAAACATTCTGATCTGTTAATTAATTATAAACCCATAATACCAGCTAATTAAAACACAACTATATATACGTTTCATCTCATAAAACGGAAAATACAAAAGGAAATCAAAGAAAGCATGAAATATTGAGGAGAAAGAACAACTTCACCTCAGACTAGTAACTAAGTCAGTTCATATCCAACATTATTTGATAACTAATTATGTTCTTGATCAACAGATGGCTTGGTGCCGTCACCTTTCTCAAGCATCCGAAACTCCAAATCTGGAGTTTGGGTTTGCTCCCCTACCTGCAGGCCTTGTTGACTTGCCATGTAGATACTTGCGGGTCGATCTCCGACATCGTTCATCTCTTGGCCGCTGCTCATGATTATAATATCTGCTGCTTTGTTTTGGTTGTTGTTGTTAGCATTTGCGGCAGCTTTGTCTCTCTCAGCTTCCCTATATTTATGCAAGTACCTTATAGTAGCCTGGGCATAGTTATCAAAACCTAGAGCACTCAGAGCCCAACAGATGTCATCTCCATTCACGGTCTTGCGATTCTCCTTGTGACACTTGTCAGACGCCTCAGCCGTCACAAAACTTAGAAACTCAGTTGCACACTCTTGCATTGTTTGTTTGGCTTCCTTGGAAATTTTGGCTCTTTGGGGAAGAATTTGCTTCATGATTCGACCCACGTTTGCAATTGGCAGCAACCCATCTTGTTCATCTACCATATTGGTCGATCCACACAACTTGATTTTGGAGTAAAGATTGCTCTTTTCTGACACCGACACGTTGCTCTGAATCAGAACGCACACTTGCGCGTCTTTATAGATGCTTATGTATGTGTGTACATATACGTATGGGTGGACGTCACAAGTCATGATGTTTAGTATAGATTAACTGTGTCAAGTGATTTAGTCTCGATTGTACCCTAACTAATATTATAAATAAATAAATAAGAAGAATAGAAATGTGATTTTATAAAATGGTGACATGTTATGGATTTTCACTAATAAAATCGATGCAGCCAATATATATGAATTAAAATAGTCAATATCGAATCCAACTGGTACAAATTATGATAGTCAAATTAGAGCTTAACATGGCCTAAAGCTTTTCAAGTAGTTAAATTGACCTAATTAGCAATTAATTACATTCAAAAGAAATACGTATTAGATGATATTGATCAATAACTTAATGAAAACAGTAGAAAGGCTAAAGCCATATGAAGAGTACAATGGTCCCCACGAAACCTCTTAACAATAATCTGGATTAATTAAGCCTAAAGTGTTCTCGTAGTTCGTACCGTATTCAGATGAGTGGATGACATTTGTGCACGTTTCATGTTCAAGGATGGATCCAACCAAAAACTACCTAAAAAGAACTGATTAGTAACCTTTTAGTGTTTTATTAGCTCATTCATTAGGTTTAATTACTATGCGTTTGTTACTCAAATTGGTGACAAACAGGCAAAGCATTTCCTTTAACCTGTGAAGTGAATGATGTATATGTTAGGTTTTGGTCAGCTTGCTTTATAGATAAGATAAGATGCTAATAAGACCTAACTAGGCCCTAAATTAATCTCTAATCAGCAGACCAATAACATTTTGGTTTTGGAGTAATCCTTAATTATATATAAAGATTAATTTAATATATATTCTTACAAATATTATTATATGCATGTATTGATAAGTATTTGGTCTTGTTGCATATTGCTACTTTAGGTTTCATTTTATTATAATTAATCAAATAATTTTGTAAGCTAAATGAAGCATTGGAATCATTTACAGATCGAAACTCCTCGAAAATCTTCCTAAAAAAAGACTCCATTTCCACCAACCAACTAAAAAAATCTTTGCTCGGACGACGGATCCTATAGAAAATTCAAGTATAAATAGAACTCTAATTTATAAACCACTAAGAAATATGAAGGACCACACAGCACTAATATGTAGACATAAATAGTAGTGAGGACAGTGAAGGAGTAGCCAATGTGAAAGAAAAGTAGTAGCTAATATGGAAGTTTGAATTCAAAACCCAATATCAATTACGGATTTATTAGCAAACCATCCATAAACATGCTTACTTTTACATTTTGTATTGTACTTCACTATAATGGGGGGCAAAAGACAACATTTCATTTTTCTTTTCCCCATTTTAGCATATGAGGGCCAATATATGACTTATTTAAGAGAAGGACATACTTTTAATTTATGCAATTATATGATGATTAACCCTTATGGCTCGTTTGGGAGTGATTCTAGATATTTAGGCCAAAAAGCACTTCTACTGAGAATCACTTCTCCATACAATCATTTTAAGTGGTTTTAAATTATTTTATGGAGAAGCACATAAGAGGTGGTTCTTTTCAGAAGTGATTATGACCTATCCAGAATCACTCCAAAACGAGCCATTAATAAGAGAATAATTTAATAGTGCAAACCTAATCTTTAGTAAGATAACAATTTTGGGCCTTATTGATATGGTCGCTTGCTTTCAACATTTTGTTTGTATAAATAAGAGCATGGTTTAGGCCTATATAAAGTACATTTGCTTGAATAAAATATAAACCTAGTTGTACAAATGTTCTTCCATTATTAAACTATAGTGCACTATCAACATTTTGGGCCGTATCAAAAAAAGATATGGTAATAAACAAATGCACATGGGTTCATGGGTACAAACCCATGATACATTTTTACAGGATTGATCTTGCAAAATCCTATATGCTTGGAAGTCTTTTGAGGACCTTAATTAAGAGAACAAAACACATTGTGTACTTTTCCCACTTTTTGTAGGCCATGTCCAACTTTGCTTTGATTCCTTTGATTCTCTATATAATCAAGTTTTGGTTTGGAAAAATAAAATAAAATTCTCATTGACAGGTTGATATGGTGATATTTGTGCTTGAAAGTTGAATGTGAGATTCGGTTGTTTTAACTTGTAAGCAAAACCCAAATTGAAATGATTGAAATCGAATTGAGAATGGTTGCAATTTGGTTTGTTTGTAGCCCTGTCGTATTTGGGCCTCATTCTTCTTTATAGCTCCAAAATAACAGAGTTTGTACCACAGGTCCACAAGCATATTGGAGCCTCATCCTTTGTGTTTTTTTTTTGGACAAAATTCGTTGAAAGCCTCAAACTTAACACAGACCAACTCCAATGGCCCAAAACAAAAAAGCAAAGACCGATATCGATAGACCCTGTGGGATGCTTACGTGCTATAGCTTGTACACGTATTATAATATTGGTGGACAACAGAGTTGATATTTCCCATTTTAGAGAATAGTATCAATAAATATCCTCATATTATAACATGTGAAATTATTCATGAACATCTCAAGTTCAACAATTGAGAGCTAGCAGGGAGCTAGCTGATTTACACATTAATTGCAAGGACACCCCTGTAAATCTCTAAAAATAACAAACTTTATAAAGTAGTTAGTAGAATATGAAAATTAAATGAAAATGTGTTTATGGGCATATGGCCATTTAGGTGGAGATCTCATCAAATCATAATTTAAGTTCTTAGCCAAAAGTGGATCAGGAAAACACAGACAGTCACATTTAAGTGAAAAGCTATTCTCAGTACCACCAAATTTGATTGGAGCCTTTGGGGCCTTCCAAACATGTATGTTAGTAAACTATAGGTAAGTAACATTCCAAGAAGAAGAAAGTGCCTTACAATATGATCATATTGCTCTTGGAGGTTTCTCCAACAGTGCAGAAAAGTAGACCTCCTCCTTTGATTTAGGAGAAATAGCCCATTTGTGCTTCTTGTATCTCAGCTGCAGAAACATGTACATGAAGTCATCTAAATCCTTTCTTTTACAGAAGAACCGGTCAATCCATAACAACCCCCCCGGCCTCAGAATTCGATCCCAATCGAACAGGATAAAATCCAGCAATTGCAGGTCAATCCAGCCATCCAGAAACCCAGTGGTATGAATCATGTCCATTATGTTATCAAAGAATGGTAGCCGTTGATTCAATGTTAGGTGCAATGGGATCAAACCTCTCAGTGCAATCATTTCATTGAAAGGAGCTCCAAGGTTAAGAGCAGTAGAGACTATTGTAACATTATGTTCCCTCATCCTTGCAGCAAAGGTTCCTGTACCAATACCAAAGTCAAGGCCAATCCTTATCTCCCCTGGCTTAATAGCCAACACATCATTGATCAGAAAATCAATGGGAAGGGAGCTGTTTGTAACCCATTTAAGTTTTTCCTTCTCCATTTCAAAACACCCGACACACTTAGAATAACCCCTCCTGGAGTTATTGCCCATCAAGCACTTAAAGTTCCTGCACAGATAATTGCTCCACCTCACATTTCTATCATCCGGCAATCTCCACAGAGACTCATTGATTGGGTAAGGCTTCTGGTAAACCATGGAGGCCCTTGTCAAGCACCGCCTTCGGGGCAAAGGATCACAACCGTTAAGCATCAGCTTCTGTGCTAAGTTCCAATCGTCATTACAATAAGACCCAATGTCATAGCTCATGTACTCTTCCAGCTCTTTCTTGTATAACACACAGGCATGTCCAATTGTATTGAATATCCTCTCTGTACCATATATCGTAATCTTCCCAACTCTACTCTGCTTTGGTGTTATATACTTCCTTATCTCTTCAATCACAAAAGTGTTAATCAAAGGCTCCTCTTTCATTGTAGAGTTTCTAATACCTTCGGGCTTAGGTAACCGAATCAGTCTCAGAGAAATGTGAGCACTATAAAGAGGCCTGATTACTTCCTCCTCCAGATACTTCTTGTACTCCAATTTTGTAATATTAGTTGTATGCAAGTCCTCTTTGTTCTTCTCCATTTGCTGCACAGCTGATTCAAGCTTTTCTTGTAAGCTTTCCAGTCTATTTAGCACTTCCCCTACTCGATCAGACAAAGCTTTTAGGTCGAACCCTTCGTATGCCTCTTTGACGCCGTAAAATTGTCGGCATATGTCCTCATTGTGCAAGAAAAACCCTGCAGAGTAGAACTTGAAGAGACTACATATGCTGAAAATTATAACAAGGCCTCCCAATACAATCTGAAGCCAACTCATTAATCTACCCAGCCTACATTTGAGATGGCATGACCTCCCCATCCTAATTAAAATACAGCACTTCAGCTTTCCTTCTAACCAAACACCAATCTGATCCTTTCTTTTCTCAGTTCATCAACCTAGTCAAAAAGAAAAAACCAAATCATGGTGATAATGAAATGATCTGAACTTAATAACTAAAATTCACCACAAGCCTCCGCACCAAGTTATCATACAGTTCACACTCAAAAGGGATACATGATTCAGTAAGTCAGGCATTTCTGTCTTGACAAATTTAAAAATCAGAACATAGAAAACCCAAAATTCAGGGTGAAGCTGAAACTCAAATAATGCAGAAACGGGTATATGATATATCATTCAACATGAATCAGAGTCAAGCTTTTGCAACTTAGATTTCAGCAAAATTAATAACTTTCTCTCACAATCAACAAAAGCATACCTAACATTCTCTCTCAAAAAATCTTAAACCAAGGAAAATAAAAGCTCTTGCTAAAACTGCAGGAGGGAACCAATTGCCATTACCACCATTTGAATAGCTATAATTCTATCATTTCATTGGCAAAAACCAAAACATCAAACACAATTTAAAAGACTCAGAATTTCATTTCTTTTCCTCAGATTTTTCCAGCTGCCAAACAACATCTAACAAAAGAAAGATACAGAAATGAAGCTGAAAACAAGCTAATTCAACCAGAACTGAATGTTAATAATCCAAGTTTGAACATACCCGGATAAAGAAGAAGCTCCAGGAACATGCATCAAACTGAAGCCAAATCGATCTTCCTTTGCACAAACTTAACATATATATATATTCCAAACTCTCTCCCACAAAGAACCCAGGGTCCCAGATAAATAAATAAATGAAAGATTGAATCTTGCAGTAATACTTCAAAAATACTCCGAACTCTCTCTCTCTCATGCACTTCCCACTTGAGCTTCCAGGGCTGTAAATTCGTATTTCTTAAGCTTACCAACTTACTAAAAGTTCACAAAATCCATCCACTTTTGATTATTTAATTCAATAAGCAGCACATTTCTTACTCAATAGGCTCTGAAGCACGAATCTCCAGATGGAAAATCAATATTATGCAATTAAATAATCAATCTTTTGCACAAGTGTTTGTTTAATATTTTCAAAGGCGTTGACTTTGTAGAACTCAAATCACGGCGGAGACCAGTTGGATGGTGGAATTCGACCAAAAATTAGAGGGTCGGGTCAACCCGATAATCCATTTGGAAAAGGAGATTAGGATCGGTTCCATTTCCATGGAGGAGGACAAGAGCCGCGAAATGAGGGAGAAGAGAGGGAGAAGACGTCGTTTGCTCGCATAAATTGCCGTTTACTGAGACCGGCATCATTGGAGCGGTCGTGTGACCAAACTGTAACACCGGTGCCGAAGTTATCGTGTTATGTGAACTAAACGACACCGTTACAGCGCAACGGGTTGATATTGGAGAATTTATAATATATATATATAGTAATATATCTATAATCAATTAGGGGTGGGGTTATCTTTGAGAGTTTGATACCAATAACTTCTTTTCATTATGATATTTTAAACTATTCTAATGTACGACAAATTGATCGAATTCAAATATACAAATTGATCGAATTCAAATATAAAGAGGCAAACATATGTCTTGACTAATTAACCTAATCTACGTCTATACTTCTTTTGGTTATTTTTGATAAATGCATTGTTTGAAAATAGATTGAAAACAATGTAATATTCTCTTTGCAAACAATGTCACTTATTATGCTACAAAGTTGTATATCACACTATTAATTAGCTAGAATAGTGTATAGATAAGAATTGATTACCTATTCATGCTATATCAAACTTATTCTATGCGATTAAATATATTATCTATCTCTTTGCTCTTTGTCATAGTCACATCAACTATGAAACTTTTGTGACTGTTTAGAACAAAGAGAATTATCTCGATAACCTTCTCCATGTTGTGTTGAAGTGAGGGAACATGATTTATTAGGGAGGATAGTTGCTAAGATGGTATATGTGGTCCACGAACGTGTCAACTTTTCACAATAAAAAAGTAACGTGCAATGCCAACACATCATAGTCCATGATAGACTATTTGCATGTAACATTGCTCCATTTTTACCCTAATCTATTTAAAGTGAAAATTTTGTTACTAGTATCCAAATATATTCATTAACATGCACCTCCATCCCCTCTTAATTTCACACTTCCACTTGCTAAATGAGTATTATCATAAGATTGACCTAGGGTCGTTGAAAGGTACTTTATACTCCTCTTCTACCAAGCATGTTTAATGTGATTCGAGTATTTATGAAGATAAAAAACAGTCCTAATTATTTAATTTTGTATAAGAAAATAGTCACAATTTGATTATGTCGGGTCGCATTACATATGAGTCGAAATCAATCCCATTAAATACTCAAGTTAAAGTAACGAGTCATTGGTAAAGTTTTTCTTATTTACAATAATCCGCAAACAACTTATTTAAATTTTGTATTCGGCAAATGTTGTCCATTGAATTTAAATTTAGATCTCTCATGACTTTGTAAAGGTTAGACGCCACTAGACGAAATGGTCATTCGCAATAAACCTATCCAACTCAACTCTATGTATTGTGGTTTGTGTTTGTAGTAGTTTTATTTTTTTTATTTTCACGAAAAGTTTCTATGTGATGCCATTTTTCTCTTGTACTAAACTCTGTTGACACGAGACAATATATTCTCTTCCTCTCCTAGCCTTCCTCTGTATGCAAAGACACTTTGATTTTTTCTCATTCTTACTTCTCTGTCCTTCCCTTTGAGCCCGTGAATTCACCCTTGCACAGCCATATGAAAGTTTAACTCTTTTGAACCAGGTACTCTCTCTCTCTCTATCTCTTTCCTTCTCTCAGTTTGTGTTTGGTTCTTGTTATTTATTGCTTTACTTGGTTTCGATGTGTTTCATACATAGTAAAGGTTGGTAATAGATGTGAATCAAAGCTTAACACGAAAACCCATTTGCCCAGGCTTGGTTCTCTCACGTGGGTTCTTGACATTGAAGCTCTTCCATGGAGGTTAGTCAGGTCTGAATTTTCTCTCTCTCAATACTCTTTTGCATACCATGTTTAACGCTTATGAGGCAACTCTATGCATTGTTCTTATATTGTTTGCATTTTTTCTGAAGTTTGATACGAGCTAAATTTTATGGGTTAGTTTGAGAATTTGAATAGGAGTTTGGGCTCTGAAAGGTTTGGTCTGGCTATTACTTTGGCTTTATTTTTGTAATTGCATATTCTCTTGGTTTTGTTGTAATTGCATAAGCTTCTCTGTCTTGGTTTTGTTGTAATTGCGTTAGCTATTTCTTTTGCTTTTGTTTTTGTGACACAGCGTTCTGTTCTGTTTATTGTTTTGACATGGTTGATAGCATTTGGTGTTGTATCTTATATCAATATAGATCTAGGTTGGTTATCTGATTTTGGTTTGGTGATCTTGAAATTCTATGCTCTCATATGTTTTTTTTCATTGGGGGGTCGTTTCTTCTTTGTCCTAGATATCTATATCTGGGTTTCGTTTGTCATTATACTGCTTTGGCGCTAATGCCAATTGAAACCCACGCAATATGGTGAAGGTTTAAATTCTTTTCCATTCCCAAGTGTTTGTTCTTATGTTTCTTCAAACTTTGGCAGATGGAATCAGCTCAGCCGGATCATGTTGGTGATTGCATCAAAGAGACATCTATTAAGCATTTATTTTATCCAGGCACTCCTGATATAAGCAATGTGTTTGGAGAACAGCAAGCGAGTCCCCGAGTTGGTAATGAGTACCAGGTGGAAATTCCTCTCATGAATGTAGAAGCTGAGAAGCTTAAGCTTTTGACTAATCCTGCTGATTCAAAAGTTGTTGATGTTTCCCATGACTTTCTAGTCGGTTTACCTGTCCCAATTATATGGTCTGATGAAGTTAAGAACATTGAAGACAAGGGGCTGGAATCTCCAACTAACCCTGATGATGCAGTTAATGCAAAGAGGTCCCAGGAAACTAGAAACAGCAAAAAGAATCGTACTAGAATAAAGAAGAAAAGTTCAGAACTCAAAGTTGAACCCTTGGAATTTGGGTTGGTTCAGGGAGAAGAATCAAGAGCAGAAAATCTAGGACCAAGGTTGGTTGAAGAGGATTCGAATCAGTCGATTAGAAGCAAATGCTGTTATCCAGTTCCTGGTTCATCAAGAAGCCCTTGGAGTGATGCTGAAGTGGATGGTTTTCTTCTGGGCTTATACATTTTTGGGAAGAATTTTTATCAGGTGCAGAGATTCATGGAGCACAAAGACATGGGAGAAATACTGTCATTTTATTATGGGAAGTTTTATAGGTCTGAATCACACCGCAGATGGTCAGAGTGTCGGAAAATTAGAAGAAAGAAATGTATTACCGGAGAGAAAATTTTTACAGGGTGGAGGCAACGAGAATTGTTATCTCGTTTGGTTCCTCATGTCCCAGAGGAATTTCAAAAGGCTTTATCAGAGGTACTATAATTCACTGCTGTTTAAGCACTTATCTGACATTTTTTTTTTTCCTGGAATATAACTTATTGGATCAGTAATTAAATGTAGTGTATGTATACTCGTTGTATCACACTGAAATTATTCCACCATATCTTTTTCCATCTTGCAATGACGTCAAAAATGAAACCTTGTTACCATGCAATTTATGCCAGAATAAATATATGTTGTTTGACAGTGAACTTAATACATGTTAATACCATTTTATACTCCCACGGGTTCACCACTCCATTGGACCCTTCTTGCTTACTGTTTATTCACTTTGTCTTGCTCTTTAAATGGCGATATAGGAGAGTTGTTTTATAGCAAAAGAATCAACTGTTGACGTATTGCTGAATTTTAAAAATAATGTTGAATTTCTGTTGTTACAAGTCAGATGCATAGTATTTCATAGCTTGGTTGGGAAAAGGTTGATTCACCTATACCATATTCTTAACTCAGATTTAGAAAGGGATTTCTTTGTAGTCTGATTGTCTTATAGAAGCTTGTATGCATGTTGTTAAATATACTTTTATCTATTTGATGGGTAAATGTTATGATTCTCACTTCTCCTCTCCCATGTGATCCGTTAGCAGGGCTATAAGTCATTTGCAGAGGGAAAAACTTCACTTGAAGAATATGTCTCCCTTTTAAAGTCTACTGTTGGCATTCATGTACTTGTGGAAACTATAGGAATTGGGAAAGGTAAAGAAGATCTCACAGGCTTTGCCATGGAACCTGTAAAGAACAATCAAGATTTTCCAATTTGTCCAAAATTACCAACTGGCAAAGCTTTTAGTTCTCTTACATTCAGTGAAATAATGAAGTGCTTGACTGGAGGCTTTCGGTTGAGCAAAGCTCGATGTAACGATATTTTTTGGGAGGCTGTTTGGCCCCGTTTGCTAGCAAATGGATGGCACTCTGAGCAACCTAAGAATCACGGTTATGTCAGTTTCAAACATTCTCTGGTTTTTCTTATGCCTGGCATAAAGAAGTTCTCAAGAAAAAAATTGATAAAGGGAGAGCACTATTTTGATTCTGTTAGTGATGTTCTGAGCAAAGTGGCATCTGAACCTGAACTTCTTCGGCTTGAAGCTGAAGAAGGTCCTGTTGGGAGCTGGAATGAAGAAGGTGGGTGGGTTCCAGAGGCGACATCAGACCAGGATGATCAATCTAATTATCGACGGCATTGCTACCTCAAACCCAGGGTTGCTACTAGCAATCCAAACCATATGAAGTTTACTGTTGTCGATACCAGTTTGGTCCATGGAGGCAAATCATGCGGTATAGTGCAACTGAGATACTCACCAGTTGAATTCGAAATTAATTCAACACAAACCAATTGCTCAAGTGAAAATGAAGTGGACGCTTGTGAGAACAAACTGAATGAGTATGAGAATGATACTGCTGAAATGCGATTGAGCCCTAAAACCAATATGGCCAAGCACTTGAATCAGAGGAGGTTCACAGTCGTTGACACCAGTCTAGTCCATGGTGGAAAATCATCAAAAGTGAGAGAACTGAGATGCTCACCAGCTGTAATTACAAGTGTTTCTAAGTCGACTGGTCTTTTGCGAGAAGCTGAAGGAAACTCGTCTAAGGATGTACTGGGCAAGCATATGCCTGATGCTACTGATATTTCGTTGAATGATGAAGTGAATAACTTAAGCTCCAACTGCCGTACTGATACAACTGTTATTGGTGGTACAAACCAATTGGCAACCATAAATAACACAGATACTGCAGAAAAACTGGAGAGCCAACTGGATAAGGAAACTAGGATGTCTGATAACAAGCAGCCAAAGAAGACTGCATTGCATCAATTCAAGCGGAGAGCGAAATATAGCCATTCAAATTCTATAGGTCCTCTCAAACGGCGAAGATTAACTGCTTGTGTTAAGGCAGAGACAAGTTGCCTTATTAAAAATTGCTCAGAAGATTTGGAGTCAGAATCCCATGGCACATTGAATTCACTAGATGGAGTTGAGCTTGTTGTTTCTCTAGTGGGTCCTCAACAAAAAGAATCATCAATTACTTCTCTGGCTCCAATGAAGGAAAGCAGTTTGGGAACTCTCAGAGGGAATTCTTCTGGTGTGCGCATGTCTCATGGGGAAAATGAGAAACATCAAACCCCGGAATCATCTAACCTGAACCTACCTCAGGATTCGATGGACAGTAGAAACAGTGAAAACTTTGTTGTGGTCAGCCAGGAAACAAATGCAGACAGTCCATGCCTTTCATCTAGTGGAATGAAGCATGTCGATGATGACACCTTGGGTGCCTCTAACATGAATTCTAGGAGGCAAAGCACAAGAAACCGACCACCAACCACCAGAGCATTGGAAGCTCTTGCAGACGGTTTCTTCAGTGTTAAAAGGAGAAAAAAAGGGACAGAAGTCCCCATAAGGGAAAAGCCACCCTCAAGACCTTCCCGCAAGGTCCGCAGCGGAGTCAAAGTAACTTCAAGTCATGCTGATACTGTTAGTGGAGTTGTGGCTTCAAAGGAAGAAAAAGAGGTGAATGAAGCTTTTAATGTTAACAAAGAGACGGTTAGCAAACCTCTTGATCAAATTGGAGAAAAGTGGCTCACTAGCTACTAAGAATGTTTAAAAGACTCTTGTCAACTGGTAGTTCTGGATTTTTGAAGAATTAATCCAAGGATAAGTTATTAAAGTAGGGGAATTTGACAGCACTTTTGATGGCTATGTATGACTGTTTCAATGGGTCACTTGATATTCAAGTTTCTTACAAACTGTTTAGGTAGTGAGTTTATATGGTTAATATAAGTCTAACATGATTAATTTATCTTTACTTTCTTGTGATCTCTTAAAAAGCTCATCATCTTCTCAGTGGACATTCTGCTTCGATGCTTGAACATGAATTCGAACAAATGATAGAAAGTTCTGCTTATTTCAGAAGTGTTTTTAAGCATGGCCAGACTCTATGTTTTTTGGCTGATAGAAAGTTCTGTGATGTTATGTTATTCCTTATAACTTGGTTTCTACTATCTTGCAGAACATTTGTGATTTGTGACTGCAAGTTGGTTTTGCATTTGCTTTCATTACTAGGATGTTTTTGACGAGTAGTCTTTTTGGACTTTGATTTCAAAAAGGCTTTGGTCTTGTTGGGACTTTAATGTTTAGGGCTTCAAATTTAGATAGGCTTTTAAAAATGGGCCTGGCTAGAGCGTCAAAAAGGATTTTGTCTTGTCGGGCCTTGAATGTTTAGGGCTTCATATTTTAGATAGGCTTTCAAATATGGGCCCTCTTGAGTTGACTCATAGACCATCGTTGACGATCATAATTGCCCTTTTTTCCTGGGAACTTTCCCATAATCATGCGTGATGTTTTTTCCCGTCCAAAAGGTTAGAAAGGAAAGGAGGCATCTTCATCTTTGCCCATACCTTTTGGCGCCAAATGGACACCTTTGGCGCCAAGAGAAGTAAACAAGATAAAACAGTTTAATTCATGAACAGGGAATTGAAAAATAAAAATAAAAATCAATCACAATCAAGATTTGGAATCTGAAATTTCCGGGACATGTAAAAATTGGACGTTTCTCAAGCTAAGAACAAAATGTCAACATTTTCCTCGAAAGATCAAGGAGGAGGGGAAGAGGACTAGGCTTGAGATTGAGAATTAAAGTGATTGACAAATGACATCCATTGTAATTCCTGCAAGTAACCACGCTTTGGGCCCATGTGATGTTACTATATAATGATAATAATCCAACCATGCATTAATGTTCATAGGTTTGTTGTTGGAAAATATGTCAATGTTTAGTATTTGTTTCAGATCTTGCAAATAGACTCGTGACCTGTTTTTTCCCATTAGTTGTCGGTCACCAATTCATTTGTCCAAGAAAATGTATTTTTTATATAAGTTGCAATTGTCTTTGTTTTCACATTACACTGTATATAAAATGGAGTGTAAGTGGACAAAATTGGAGTGGGGAAATCACCACTCTAATTATAAATTGCGTGATTCTGATTTTCCCTCAAATATAGTCCGTTTGGTTCTCCCAGTGTCGACCGCTTTGTTTTCGACAACGTAAGTCTCTCTCGTACAGTTTGATAACATATATAACTATGAAAGTGTTGTTTGGTAAGAATAAGCATTATTCTCTATGTAGCTGATTATCTTAACAAATCAAGTCTCTATTTATACCAACCATTCTTGTATATATATATATATATATATTTATATTTATAGATGAAAACCTTTTGGTCTTTTGATGACACAGGCCACTTTCTAATTCATCCCTTAGTGAGACAACAAAATCTTGGGTTCTGTTTTGAAAGTAGCTTTCCAACTATTGTCTCGATCGCAATAGCAGAAAAAGCCTCTTTCGCTTTTCAAATTATTGCTGGGCTCCGGAAAAACTGGGGTTTCAAATTATATTAGAAATGGCGGTGACAATTTCAAATGCTTATGTGAGTGCACAAATCAGTATGATTAATCACTTTAATTACCAGATGAAGCAATGTTAATCATTGTTAATCTAATAGCTAGGAGTAGTCTTTTCTCAATTATTTTTACTTTTTACTAGCTATATGCTAGACATTAATCATGATTAACAATTGACCTTTTTGCTTTTGGATTTTGGTAAATTACGTACCTATACTATTCAACTATTCTACCTTTTCCCTAAATGATTGCGGATCAATCTTGACAGAGGCGCGATGGATGTGTTTAACTGAGGTAAATGCATCTTGCCTTGCCTCCACTTGGGTCATTGCCAAAATGATATTCTCTAATGTTAAAAGAAGAGGGATCGAACTCAAATGCAAGGGGACGGAAACACTATCTTGATCAACTGACCTAACCTAAGACTGTTTTTATAAGTCGTACAAATATAGGTATTAATTCCTCTTGGGTCATTGCCTTTGTTTTCTTTCTATCTACAAACTTTATATTGCTTTATCTTATTGATTAACGTCATGAATAGTTGACGATATCCCCAATCATTTCTTGATTTCTCAGAAGAAGTAAAGCATATGGTATAGTAGCGGAGAGCAAGAAGACTACAACAAACTACATGACGTTTTGTAATTGCTGTATCTTATTAATTATTTCTTAACCAATATTTTAAACCTCAGCCATGCCTGATTATCGTAGCTTCTGTCCTTTTAATTTGTTTCTCATCGGCTGATTGGATCGTCTACGTAGCTTATAATTATCTATTTTTGTTTGTGTCCAATTGGGACAAAGACCCTTTGCGCATAAAATATGAATTATATGATACATATAGTTTTGACTTTTGCGTTGATTTTTTTTAATTTTTATTTTGGCTAATCTAGGTAGCTTTAAACACACATAAATTTGTTTTGGTAGAATTAATAATTAAAAACAAATTAAACTACTAACCAACAAATATGTAAGACAAGCTTGCTGGTAGCTAGATACAACCGCTAGCTAATTAATCAGCGTAGATTTAATGACAATAATTGTTGATTAGGGCCATTTCATCCCTAGCTATGTCATAATCTAATCTCAACCACCCATTAAAATAGAATTAATTAGAAGATTAGGCAAACCTTGATTAATATAAGTAGTATACATCTGTTTAGTTGATTTTCTTTTCTTGACGGCTCTTGCGTACAAATATTATCACTGTTAGTTAACTGCAATGATACTGTATTTGTACGTAAGCTGTAACTGGAAGTATATGGAACGTACAACACAGAGATGCATGTACAGTATATGATGTAGACAAAGCCAAAGGCAGTCTTCATGTGATGTATCAGATTGTACGTACGTACACAGACCAACAGAGAGACTCACATGTATGTATTTGTGTGCATGGTTGGCTTGGCTTTGGCTTGGCTGCATGCACTTTCAAATTTCAAAATACAAATACAAAACAAAAAACAAATAATTCAATTGAAGATATAACTTAATATCCATGCAAAAGTCGCATCATCAGCAAGCACCCGAATTGCACTTTCCTAACGTACGGTTGTGATTTGTCCATAAGCAGCACGGGCTGCCTTTTTTTTATTTTTTTTACATTTGTTCCTTATGGGGTCGACATTTTGAGTAACTTTTAACCTTAAAGATGAAGCACTATTCAATCTGAAAATGGAGCTCATCTACATACATGATTTGGTTCGTGATTGCCAATATTTTCTTTTTCAAATAAAAAGAAGAACAATCCATAAGCATATCTATTAGAGAGACTACTATTTTAATGTATGGTGGTAAGAATATCGAACTCGGATATAAGAGGACGGACACATAGGTCGACTAACTGAACTAAAGAGAGAAATTATAAACTTTTTTTTTCTTTTCCCATCTTCTATTAATTGACGATACGTCATTCTCCTATCCTCTTTGAAAGCAGGCCGGGTTTAATGACCAAAATGACCCTTCAATTGTTTGGGAAATATGAAATTGCCCCCGGGTGAATTGGCCTTGTGATCCACACCATACCATGTGCACGTGAATATAAGAATTTTTGTGTTGATGTCGGGTCCTTTTCAAGGAGGACACGTCAGCTGCGCCAGCCCGTGACCGTTAGGGTAATTTGGTCAGTTCACACTTAAGGGCGGCTAAATGTACAGTGGCACTCTTGTGATTTTGTCTCTTTGAAAGTGACTTTTTGGGAACAAAAATTCCTTTATTAATATTTCTCCTCACAAACGGACAAAGTCTCGGCCAGAATCCCTTGTCTGCCACTGCCAGCATTATTTGAAAAATAGACCAAATTGTTAAAAAAAAATTGCATAAAATAATAACAAAATTGCCTAAAATCAGGTTTTGGAACTCTTTTTTAATATTATTTTTTCTTGAAAAATGACAGTATGCATATGATTTTAGTGAATCGCTGGATAAATTAAAGAAAACAATTAAATAAAAAATTAATAATTTTATTAAACAAACGGCCTTAACTATTTTGTTTTTAATTTCAAAATATAATAAGGGTGGTAATTAGCTTTAAAAATTGAAATAATTCTGAAAATGAGCAGAAAGGGAAGGGTAAAGAAGGGCAAAATCATCATAATTCATAACCCAAAAAAGTTAGGGGCATCTCTACATCAAAGAGAGAAGAGTGAGTTGAGCTAAAAATAATATTATTATAAAGATTACTACAATACAAGGCCAAAGAAGACCTGGTTCTTGTGTTCATATTATGCCAACAAGAACTCTCTCCACCACAATTGAAGGAGAATTTTCTGGGTTTTGTCTTCCTCCACTTGCAACAAAATCCCATCTTTTCTGTTCCTTTTTTCTCTTCTTCTTTAGTTTAATTAATTTTCAAGTGTTATCTTACTAGGTATTCTTGCTGCTTTAGAGAGAGAGAGAGAGAGAGAGAGAGAGAGAGAGAGAGAGAGAGAGAAGAGAGAGAGAGAGCACCAAGAACAAGATTAGTGGGGAAAGAAAACAAAGGAGAGATATATAGTTTTGGAAGTAAGACAAACAAGTGAAATAAAAATCTAGCTTCCTTTTTATCTGTATCTTCCTCCAATGTCAATTATCACAGGTAGTGCGGCTGGGAGTCTCTCTTCAGGAAATACTGGTGGAGAAGAAGTTCAACAGCAACAACAACAAGAGCTTTTAAATCATGCAAACTTTCATGGCTCAAATTCCTTCCTTTCAACAACACCACCAAATATCAATAGCAATGGTACTCAACCAAAGCAACCTCCCCAACCAAAGAGGAAAAGAAACCTACCAGGAACTCCAGGTATAATTCAAGCTTTCTTTTTTCATTTTGAATGTTTTTTTTTAGTTTCATGTCATTTTTTCTTTGAATTAAATGAAAGTTGGGGAGAAGCTAGTAAGAACTCTAGGCATAATTGAGCTTTTCTGTTCACATGCTTAATTTAATCTTATCTTGTAATTATTTTGAATTAATTTCTACCAGCCCTTTTGTCAACATATGCATGCTTGCATATATCTTTATTGAAATTATTTATTAGTTCTTCAAACAGATTGGATTTTCATGAAGGAGAGCCGTAGATTCTTTATTTTCCAGACAAAGAGAAAATGATGGGGTCAGAAAACATGAACTATGCATTATTGATGTCTAAGTAGTTGAAAGGGTTCAATTATTGGCTTGCTGTTTTACAATTATTGTAGTAAAAGTACTATTAGCTAGCTTTGCTTGACTGGTCTCCCCCGACTTTCTTTTCTTTTCTTTCTGTGTTTAACTGTTTCAAGTAAAACATATCTTTTCCAGCAGATACAATTTCCCTCGTGACAATCTATAATTAATCAAATGTCCCACATTTTTCTGTGCATTTGAAATTCAAATTCTATATAAATATGCAGACCCAAGTGCTGAAGTGGTTGCCTTATCACCAAAGACCCTGATGGCCACCAACCGATTTGTGTGCGAAATTTGCAAGAAGGGGTTCCAAAGGGACCAAAACCTGCAATTACACAGAAGAGGCCACAACTTGCCATGGAAGCTTAAGCAAAGAACAAGCACTGAAATCATAAAGCGGGTCTATGTCTGCCCCGAACCCTCTTGCGTCCACCACGACCCGTCCCGGGCACTCGGGGATCTTACCGGCATCAAGAAGCACTTCTGCCGGAAGCATGGTGAGAAAAAGTGGAAATGTGACAAATGCTCCAAGAAGTATGCGGTGCAATCGGACTGGAAAGCTCATTCAAAGACCTGTGGTACTAGAGAATACAAATGTGACTGTGGAACAATCTTCTCCAGGTAAAATTAATATCCACATTATTCTATATGTCTTTTTAATTGTTACAATTTGAACAACTCTAATAGGTTTTTTTAATTGTACTCATATGCATGTTGTGCATGCATGAACATTTAGATTTTTTTTTTTTGCTTTGGCGGATTTTTAATTAATACTCAACGTAAGTTTCTATTTTGTTGGAGGAGGTCTCTGAACTCAAATTGACAATTGTTGGTGTTCTCTATATTGTGCAGAAGAGATAGTTTTATCACCCACAGAGCTTTCTGTGATGCCATAGCTGAAGAAAATAACACAGCAAACCAAGGAGTGTTAATGTCCAACAATATTAACATGGGAGCACCAATCTTACAAGGTCAAGTTTCCAACAGCGACCTCATCAGCCCTTCCTCCATCAACAACAGCAACAAAACCACCAACAATCCATCAACAAGATCAAGCACAACATCTGATCAATTCAACCATAATTTTGATACCAAAATCCCTTTATCCTTGGTGCCCCAACAACCCTTGCCAATGTCCTCAAAACCCTTAAACATGTTACCAAGAAGCCTAAACAACAACAACAACACTTCTTCATCATCACCATCACCACTGCTCTTCGAATTAAGTCGCGGGCATGGCCTGATCCCCAGCTCATCAGGCCATTTGTCCGCCACGGAGCTGCTCCAGAAAGCTGCGCAAATGGGTGCAACCATGAGCAGCACTAGCCCTAGCCCTAGCGGTACAACAATCACAAGCATGGCACCCTCAACATATGGTACAACTACTACCGGTGGGTACAATGTGAACCCCTTCATGCAGCACAGAGATCATCATAATGTCAATGTTGGTCCACAATTAGAGAACTCCTTTTTTGGTGCTAATAATTATGCCCAAATGGGAATGTATGGCGGGCTTTTATTCGATCCTCATCAAAACAATGGCTTGTTGAAGAACATGGAGCAGGACAATAATGGAAATTCAAGTAAACTTGGGTTGAGGGGTACTAATGTGAGTGGAGGGGATACGTTGACGGTTGACTTTTTGGGGATCGGAGGGTCAACAAATGTCAATAGACCAGAAGATTTTCATGGTCAACAAAAACAGCAACATGACCAGCAGCAGCAGCAGCAAGACCAGTTGGGATTCGGAGGAATTGATGATGATCACCTAAGAATGCAAAGGTTTAATTGAGAAGCCAGCGTGAAGAATAGTGTTAGCTTTAAAATTTTGTACTAGAATTTCAGATGTTATGAGATCGAGTGGTAATTTTTCAGTTTCATCAAACAGAAATGAACTGTTTTGATCTTCTTTCTAAAGCATTTCATCTATGTGGGTAAAAGTTTTTAACGTGCGACATGTGGGTAAAAGTGTTATTCACCATGAGAAGACGCGTGTTTAAAACGAGGTGCTGTTTGACTGAAAAGAAGAGTCGGTGCTGAATTCCACTATTTTTACGACATGTCGTGCTAGTACCCACTACCACCACCACTCGTTTGGTTGGATATATATGGCTTGAACTAGTAGTGCTTCAACAAAAGATAAAAAATGCCGGCATTGCCACACTACTTTCATGCATGCAAACATGTATGCTTCAACCAGAGACGCATCACCATACAATCCTCCGGCGGCGACTGGAAAGAAAGGCCTCTGGCAGACCAATTTGCACCGCTAGAGTCCGGCTTTAGGCGGCGGCTTCTTGTTGGTTTAGGGTCAGCTTCGTTGGTTGTCCTTGGTGCCAATTTTGTAGGAACCACAAGTTTTCTTCTGGGGTTGTCGCCAGAAAGTAGTAGGAGTCTTAAGCTGGATGTGCTTTATCCAATAGGAGGGTACAGCAGGTGCATCGACACAAATGAAGGATTTGGTTAGTGTTGTCTTATTATTATTATTATTATTATTATTATTATTATTATTATTATTATTATTATATCATGTTTGATATAATTTTGTGTTAGATTTATTATTATTATTATTATTATTATTATTATTATTATTATTATTATTATTATTATTATTATTATTATTATTATTATTATTATTATTATTATTATTATTATTATTATTATTATTATTATTATTATTATTATTATTATTATTATTATTATTATTATTATTATTATTATTATTATTATTATTATTATTATTATTATTATTATTATTATTATTATTATTATTATTATTATTATTATTATTATTATTATTATTATTATTATTATTATTATTATTATTATTATTATTATTATTATTATTATTATTATTATTATTATTATTATTATTATTATTATTATTATTATTATTATTATTATTATTATTATTATATCATGTTTGATATAATTTTGTGTTAGATAAATTTGCTGAACTTATTCTTATTCGTTGCATATTTTGGACGTGACAGAATTTATATACCCAGCAAGTTGGGTTGGAGATCAAACATTATTATATCGAGCAGCTGAGAAAAAGGAATTTGAAAGATCACTTGACCCTCCTCCTTTGAACATTAATACCAAATCCAGGGCTGATACTGGACGCCGTGGAAACGTTAGTGAACCTGTCGTGGCATTCGGCCCGCCGGCCACTACTGGCGAACTCAACGTTAGTGTCATTGTGTCCCCAGTTCCTCTTGATTTCAAGTAAGCAAGTGAATAAAGTTTATGGCAAACCATAAAAGTCTCGTTATGTTAAAGTAAACAAGTACCTTTGTTTGTGTAGAATTGAAGCATTCGGAGGACCAAAAGAGGTAGGGGAAGCTGTGGTTAGGACTGTCACGGGATCTGGCAAGCGCCCTGATGTGAAGGGAACTTTGATAAGAACAAATTTGAGAGAAGATAGTTTAAGAAATATTAAGTACTATGAGCTTGAATTCAGAGTTGAGAGCCCCTTGTTTCATCGGCATAACATCGCCGTATGCTGTGCTCGTGGTGGTCGGTTATTTACTCTTAATGCTCAGGCACCGGAATCAGCATGGCCAGAGGTGAAGTCCGACTTCCAAAGAATTGCGGAATCGTTTAGTCTCACCTCTTGAG